TCTAGAATGATGTACAAATGAGCGTTCTTGCTCATTTTGCCTCCGAGAAATGAGCAAAAATGGGACGGAAAACATGGAATGTTGGCATAATCTTGCACCTAAGTGTCTGATATTCAAATTTCGCTTTCTGGGTCAAAATTATTCGAATTTCCTCACTCACGTTGTTACGACTGAATAGACTTTTCAATTATCTATCCAACGATGCCAAAACGAATTCTATGGCTCGAATGGTTTTTGAGAAACTTCGAATAAAGGCCATTTCGTTATCTCTGGAATGATGTAAAAACGGGGGTTCTTGCTGATTTTGCTTCCGAGAAACATGCAAAACGGGACGGAAAACATGAAATTTTGCAATAATCTTGCGCCATCCTTGCACAAAACGATGGTCATTTTTCTAATTTCATACATAACCCTCAGCTCGGAACGTATATATATTAAGCCAAACTATCCCTTAGTGTGAAACTATGCATGTGCTAGTAAATATTTAAAGGAAAGTGTCGAAACGAAACTTTCTTCGAATGTTGAACGAAATGTTCGCGTTTAACTTGCATCTATTATCTTTAGTTCAGCAATTGTTTCTGGATTCTCGCAAAAAAAATGACCGACATTTTATTCAGATTCAGCAGTAAGCTTTTGAAGGCTAGGCCACACACACGGAGTTCAAGAAAAACACTGTTTTATTTGGCTGTAAAGAGTTTGAGTATTCAGTAGAACAGATAATGTATTTTGACACACGACACCCAACTTTGACAGACATTGTCAATTGCAAAACAGTCCGGCTGCATTTCCTAACGACTCGCATCATCCAAATTCGAAATATGAGCGAAGAAGTGACTGCAGTAAGCATATCTGCCAACATTCAAGAATCCAACAAGGAAAGCGATACCGAATGTCTCAAGTCCACGTCTGAGTGCTTAACGTCCCAGTCCTTATTCTCAGTGAAGAGTTCAGAAGTGTTCGCTGTCGACGAAGTATCAAACTTCACTAGAAACTTAGTGGTCAACATTCTGAGCGATTGCTTGAACGAGCTGAGCGTCTTGCGCAGCATCAACCTTCAAAATGACTTAGGTCTCAACCCCAACAAGCTTCTATCTTATGTTAGCATTGAGGATCGTTACATGGGCCAAGAAAACCATGCGGAGTTTCGAATTAACTCAACAAATAACAATTTCGACAAGTTGGCAAAAGACATCAACATGATCTATGTCGTCCTAGATGAAACATGTAAAGAGATTAAGAAATTTGGTCAGTACCGGTGCATGGAAAACACAGTAAGTGTCGTCAATCGAATGCACGAAGAGGAGGAACGGCTTCTGCAGGACGAATCAAATCAGGAGCGAATCATCGCAGACATCAAATATAAATGCGAAGCCGAAAGGTTGGACAACATTAGCACCATTGACGAAACTGACACCAAAATACAGGAGCTTCGATACCAAGCCGAAGACATTTACATCTACGGCCAGTTGGAAGTGCAGTTTTTCGACAAATGGGAAAAAACCAGAATCGAGCAAAATACGATGAAGTGCCTGAACAATGAAGAGCACTTTAAGTCCATCATTAGCAGCACGAAAGAAATAATCAATGTGGAGAAGCGTTGCCACAATGAATTGGATTCCTACTTTGAAGAGACAAAAAGCGACTACCTGCAAAAGATTCAACAATGGATGCAAAAATATGACGAAGAAATCGAGCAACGAGAAGGTGACATAATTCACCTTAGAAGCGATTTGGAGAAGATCACTGACGAGAGGAAGCTGTTGTGTGAAAAGTACGAAAAACAGCAAGTGGAAATTAACAACTGGTTGGAGTACAAAAGAATAAAGGAGGAAAATGAAGGACAGCGACTAAGAGAAATCGACGCAGCAACAAAAATTGAGGCCTGGTGGAGAGGCGTGATGGTGAGGAATAAGCTTGGACCTTATGACAAGAAAAAGAAAGGCAAATTGCAAAGCAGATATAACAAAAAATTGAAAAATGCTCGAAATTAATTCATTACCGTAGGTATTATTGAGACATGATGATGATGGCTTTCTTGTAACGAATGAGCTTTAGTTTATAGATCAAAACTCCATAAGGTCTAACAAATTGGAGGTAGTTTACTAGTGTATGGTGTTTCGAAAATATTCGGGAATAATTTACCTACATTACTTTGAGTTATGGAAGTGAAAGAATGCAGAACCTACTTCACTGTTTTTGGAATAAATAATATATTTGAAAAATTTTGAATACATTGGTACCTATGGAAGAGGGGCGGATCCAGCTTTAAAGTCAGGAGGGGGGGGGTTATGTAGAAAAAATGCATGTCTTCTGTTATCTATGAAAATTTCTGAAAAAAATTTCATCTTTTCCGTCCCGTTTTGCATGTTTCTCGGAAGTAAGATGAGCAGGAACGCTTGTTTTTACATCATTCCAGAGATAACGAAATGGCCTTTATTCGAAGTTTCTCAAGAACCATTCGAGCCACAGAATTCGTTTTGGCATTGTTGGATAGAGAATTGAAAAGTCGATTCAGTCGTAATAACGTGAGGGAGGAAATTCGAGTAGTTTTGACCCAGAAAGCGAAATTTGAATATCACACAAAATTCCATGTTTTCGGTCCCACTTTTGATCATTTTTCGGAGGCAAAATGAGCAAGAACGTCATTTGTGCATCATTATAGACCGAACCATGGATGGGGAAATGTTGGCAGTTTTCTCAAAAAAGGCTTGAATTCAAGAAGTTTCAGATTTGCGTGGTTTTTTGTTTGTTGCAAAATTCACTTGAACATGACGCTGGCTTTTTCAAAGTTTCTCAAGAACCATTCGAGCCACAGAATTCGTTTTGGCATCGTTGGATAGAGAATTGAATGGGAGGGGGGTCATGACCCCCATGACCCCCCTGGATCCGCCCTTGCGATGGAAAATAACTGACAGGTGCTAAAACAAAATATACATTTTACTCCATAACATTGAAAATATGCAATTTGTTCTTATGTTCAATTATTGGCTTTTCTAAATCGGTAATAGGTTCTTACACCACCAAGAAGGGGATGTATTGTTTGCAACCCCTCGCTCTTACGTTTCAGTTTCCATAGATACCTGGAAACAAGAACGCCGCCCCAATATGGCTTCTCCTTCCGGTCAATATTTACGAGCCGGTAAAATATTTTCCGGAAATAATTCTAAAGCTTCCTATTATCGCGTTGTCACTGCAATAAACACGCGTTATTTTACACAGGCCCACTATCGAATTTCAGACGACTGTTTTGCGATGTCAGCTTCTAGAACTTCTTCAGAACTTCTAGCTTGTTACTTAAATAAAAATTGGTTGCAAACGATAACTCCATCGCTTTGGTATTCGCGAAACCGTTAACATGAAAGAATTGCAGGATAGAAATAAGGGAAGTTGCGCGCTCGACTGTACCTAAGTTCTTAAGCATTTGCTATTAAAAAAGATATTCAGGGCTGTTGTCAATACACAGGGTGGTTTTTTTGTATCTTGAAACGCTTAAATATTTCGAAAACCAGTGATCCGAGGAAAAAACGTTTCAAATAAGACGTTAATATCTGGGAGGGGGAAGTTTATTCGTGTCAGAAAAACAACGCCTTCTTCGACCTTGTAGGCTAGGCAGGGGCCAACTTGAGAATTTCAAATGGCAACCACAACATTTTATTGGAGATTCGAATAGTACGTCAAAAACTGAGAATAATCTATCTAAAACATTTTCTTCTATTTTGACAGATGGCGCTTCAATTCATCAGTTATAATTTTTTTTGCTTTAGATCTGCTAAACTATCTATTATTTAATTGAAACGCGGAAAATTTTAGGATGACCAATAGCATCTATTAATGACAGAGGAATATTCGGTCCGAAAATTATTTGATGGTGAAAATCAAATATGTACCTCCAAATCACCAAAACGTCTATTTGTTTATTAAAATTATAGCATTAATAGTTAGGTTTAGTTTTGTTAGATTTAAACATTATAAATCTTATTAAAACAAACAGTTGTTTGCACACAGAAACCGAAAATGCAATAATATATAGGGTATATCATTTAGAAAAACAGAACTTTGATACTTTTAGGGCTTTTGGGACACTCTGTACATTGGGGCCTCTGTGGATTCATCAAATAATACTTTGCAAAAAACAAACGGGCTAGCCGCAAACGTCCGTGTCGTACAGCGTAAATAACCCTGTATATCTACTTATACCTACATATAGAGCATTAATTTTCTGCAAATCTAAGTGCGCAAGATTGGTCCAGCCTTCTAGCGGCTCTCCAGACTCCACCATGGATACGACCAGTTACGTGCCCAACAACCCCCAGTTCGGAGTGCAGTTTGAGTGCAACTGGAGTGCTCCTACTTCGCTCCAACAGGTAAAAGGTTTAGCCTGGAAAATCTAAGCATGAAATATTTACGAAACTATTTCTCCAAAGCTGTCGACTTGTACAGACGATTTATCTTCCTGTTGGAGCGACGAGATGGGATCATTCTCACTTCCTCTAGACTTAGACCCTCTTCCAAGTTTGTTCAATATTTCTCCGTGCGGCAACGTATCATCCACGTTAAGGTAAAAGTAAAAGCTCATACGACTAGTGCTCCAGCAGTTCTTTAAGGCAACTTTTGTAGAACAGAGCCGAATTACCCGTGCCAAAATTCGCTCAGGGATCAGAAGCAGCCTTGTTCGGATGTGGCCGACGTGTTGCTCTCTCTGAAACATGCTGTGGTGCATCCGGGTCAGAGCCCAAGCGACAAATACGACGCTTTTCAGCAGCCGATGTACCATTCTCAGATGCTGCTGTCGCCAGGGGGGAGCAATTTATGCGACCAGAGTTTCGGAATCGCCCAACAGGCGCCCCTTTTCCCTAGCATGTCCGTTAATGTTTCCATGAATATGACCATGCACGGGTACCATACCAACGCCGCCGGACATTCATCGGACCTATCCTGTCCCCAGGTATAAGGCTTGAAGCGTGTGGCTGCGGTTTATACATATGTATACATGCAAAAATAATTTAGGTTCAATGGACGGCCAACACCCAAAATCCTGTGCCAGGCTCCTATCAGAACCAGGGCTTACTGAGTCCGTCGTACGGCGGCACCTACTCGTTCACCGCGGACTTCCGGCCGCCCCAAGACGTTTCGCCCATATTAGCCACAAACGCCTACAAGCCCATGTCTATGTCCTTCACTCCCCAACGACGGAGGCCCAGTTTCAGCTTGTTGGAGGAGGATGGACAGAAGCCGAATGTTTGTCGGATCTGTGGTATGTTGCATGGTGTCGTTTGTCGGATTCTCCAATTTGTTACTACTTAGGAAAAAGCTATGCACGTCCAAGTACATTAAAGACACACCTGAGAACTCACAGTGGAGAGAAGCCATTCCGTTGCAGCGACTGCAACAAATCCTTTTCGCAGGCAGCCAATTTGACCGCTCATGTTAGGACTCATTCGGGGGAAAAGCCCTTTAGGTGCCCCGTATGCGATCGGAGGTTCTCTCAAAGCTCTTCGGTCACCACACACATGAGAACGCATTCTGGAGAACGACCCTATAGGTGTGTATACAGGGTGGTCCTCAACTAATGTCCAAAAATTCACTGGCATTTTGTTTAGGCAAAAATAGATTTTTAACCAGTTCTTAGAACGGCATTTCAAACATCAGAACTTTTTTGTCTTTTAATATATCGCTTTTTTGTTGAAAATATCTGGTTCTCCAATATTTTCGAAACTGAAAATGTGTACTTGATTCAAGTCGATATCTGTCACTGTTTTCGAGATTTTTGACATTGAAACATCTACTTTTCAGTCATTTTTCAGCTCAAGTAGCTCAAATTAGATCCCTAATATTGTCGTAAATTGACTTATATTACTTTAAAGTAGTTCTGAACGTGCCTAAATACATAAATAGTCAAGGGCGGATCCAGGATCCAGATCAAACAATGCCAAAACTAATTCCGTGGCTCGAATTGTTTCTTGACCACCTTCG